GGAGTAATTTCTTCAAAACCAGTGAAAATCGGCTAACGCAAGCTCACCGAGAAAGTGTGGTTTAAATTGAAATTTATGAAGATTTTGCTATTTATTACCGAACCTTCTGTTAGTGGCTTTTTTAATTTATAATTGAAGCGCAAGATGAACTGGAAACATTGGCAATAAAAACACTTGAAGAGTGATTAAAAATTGTTTTTGCTGTAACTGGTCAGTTTTTCGCCCTTTTGGCCGTGATGTAAACGTTTCGCATGCTCGAGTGACTTGCATCTTCAGAGGTATTAAAGCCGCTTGAGCCTACAAAACAGACTCGAAAGTGAATCTTAAATTGCACTGATCTTCTTTGAGTAAATGCCAAACGTCAACTTCCGAAAATAGTCTCAAAAGTCTTGAAAATAGCTTGACGATGGCTCAAAATCGAAACTTTTTCCGCTGATAGAGCAGACTTTATCCTACCGAGGTGAGACAAAAGCGAGTTCCTGACTATGCAATTTCCTGAGCAAAGAAATGTCGAACTGCGACTTGCCGAAAAATTCTCGAAAATCACATGCAACTTTCAAAAATTTGGAAATTTCCTGATGATGACTGAAATTCGAAACTTTTGACACATGTAGGACGTATTTTGCCGAAACTCTGGCCTGCAAAAATCATACTCGTAAACCAAACGTAAAATCCCGTGATGATGACACGAAGTCGAGGCGTTTTCAACTTAAAAAATGACTTTGTTTATGAGGTGGCTTCCAAAACAATTTCTTCATGCAGAGCAAAGCAGGAATATTTTGTCACAACAGCCAAACTCCTAGTGGTTGAAGCCCTAACAAATCTCACCAGTACGTAACCAGATATTAATTAAGCAATGCAGATGAATGGGCAGTTAATTGGCAAACACAAGCTGCAACAAAAAGCAGGCATATTAATTAATTAACCAAACAGGAGAATATTGAAACCTAATTTCCCGCTTTGTTGAACATTGGCATCTAAACATGTTATTGTGCGAGGTTCTGCTATGGAATGAAATCACTAGTAATGGCGCAAATCAATTTGTTGTTGTTGTTAAGCCTTCTGTCCGCGAAGCTGATTGATGAGCGTCAATATTTCAATGGAATGAAACGATTTGCTTCTGCATTTTCATGGAAAAAATGAACATGGTTTCAACCAGCTACATTCGAACAACAAAATCCGCTATGCAAATAAACAAAGTTGCATTAATTCCAGCTACTTATGTCGTTCGGGATTTAATAGCAACCGTAGCTATTCAGTGATTTGCATATTCGCATATTAATTTACAAAGTCTGCAGTGGCACTCTAGCAATATTCCCACCGCTGGTATAAGCCCTTCAAATGAGAACTCACTTAATACTAATTTAGTTGTGCTAGTTGCGGGCACAATGATAACAAAATAATTCGCTCCGGCTTCACTCGGATAACCGCTTAACAAGCTGGATGTTTAAGATATGCATGAAAGTGGAGGAAATTCCGGTCATTTAGGGCGTACTTATTTGCGAAGTATCAAAAGTCAACAGGAAAAAACGGAATTTTCTTGGTATAATTAGATCGGGAACATTACCAAGCTTAAGTGGCTATTCGCCGAAATCCATCACGTTTTTCAATTAGAAAATCCAATCGGAAAATGCTAACCAGGCTTTGGGGGGACGCGAAATTGTGCCGACGTCATTTCGTATTTCATTCGAATTTTCCGGGCCTATCTGGCGAACTCAAAAAAGACATCTTTACCCCCTGGAGATCAAAACTTTCAGCGCGTTGCGACTGACAACGTGGAACGGGCTCGAACACTTTCCTTACCCGTTCCCTATCAAGCCGAAATTAGATAATGGCGAAAACATCTGCCTGGGACAGTTGGAGTTCACATAGGTCTTCTAATTGTATTGCAATGGCAAAAACATACCAATTTTATTGCTCCAACTGGAATTTTCCCTCTAGGAAATCGCATAATTGAATTTACTCCATTCCACCGCGCTTTCGCTCTTTCCCATTCAGATTTTTTGGCAATAAACCCAAAACTATTATCTATCTCAGTGCACCATTCTGCCACTCAGCTAACTGAGTGACAAATTATTAATAGTTGGAACGTGATTAATGAACTTTAAACTATGAGTGACTCAATGAACAGGGTGTCACAACTGGCAACAGATGGGCTGAAGGTACCGAGCGATAAATCAGAATCATCCCGATCAGTGGAAAATTCGTTAATTAGGGGAGGATAATAATTTAAAGCTGTAAAGGCGTTTTGTCTTCTCCCTCAACGATTGGTTCAGATCAATTCGCCACTCTGTATGGAAGGGTCGGAACATGCGACTACAAAAAATGTACTCTATAAGTGGTTTGCTCGGCGCAAAAACCAGAGCCAAAGTCGATTTTTTGCCACTTATAGAGACGAACGTTGTCCCACCGATGGGATGCAAAAGTGGCTTTCTGACTTTACAAGTTTTTGAGCAAATAAAAGTCGAACTGCGACCTGCATGCAACTTTGACGAGTTCTTGACAATACCCTGATGATGACTCAAAAGCGAAACTTTTTGCAGTTATAGAGCCATGGCTTATAGAGCATGTCCTTAGTTTAAGTGCAAGTTTCGACTTATTCCTCTACAGGGGCGGATCCAGCTTTAAAGTCAGGGGGGGGGGTTATGTAGAAAAAATACACTCTCTTTTGTTGTCTATGAAATTGGAAAAATTATCGTCGTTTTGTGCAAGGATGGCGCAAGATTATTGTAAAATTTCATGTTTTCCGTCCCGTTTTGCATGTTTCTTGGAAGCAAAATGAGTAAGAACGCTCGTTTTTACATCATTCCAGAGATGTTTAAATTACCTTTATTCGAAGTTTCTCAAGAACCATTCGAGCCACAGAATTCGTTTTGGCATCGTTGGGTAGAGAATTGAAAACTCGATTCAGTCGTAACAACGTGAGT